ACATTCCTTAAAACTTTTTACCCATGATGCTTTATACGTCCACTCATATGTCCTGAACTTCCTAAAGAGGATATAGACTTCGTTAGTTCACTGAACCTACCCATAAATAACGTTCGCTAGCCCAGACCAATTCGTCCAGCCCTTAATTCTTCTCGGATGTGATTACCTATGGTCATTTGTTCGATGCGATGTACCAGCAATAGAGTTGCCATCGGGTTTACATATCTTGCCCACAAAACTAGGGTATCTAGTCACCGGTAAAGTACACACCCAAAGTTATGCCGTCCAGCAACTAATGCGGGCCAAAGAGCAGCGACGAAGAACTCCTCTGGGATAGATACTGGTGTATGGATACACCTCATGGGTTCTCCATTGATACGGTCCAGATGACGATCACTCAAGATGAATAAGAACAATGGGATCAATATTGGGCACTAGAAGCGGCCGGCACGGATCAGTTTGGAAGTTCCGAACATGAGGTGCGAAGGGAGCTGGATAGGCAAGTATGGCAAATCTTCAGTGAGAGTATAGAACGACGAGGAGACGGGTAATACGTCCGAATTCCATGGAAAGAACAGTACCCTCACTTACCAGACAATAAAGCTCTTGCGTACCAACGCTTAATCAATGTCTACGCCTCCCTATGTAGAAATGAACAGCTCTTACGAGAATATAATGGCGTCTTGAAAGAACAGCTAGAGCAGCAGGTGATTGAATTGGTCAGCGATGAAGGGCATACGGACGGCCACCAAATCCACTATATCCCACATCAACCCGTCCTGACCCCTCACAAAACTACGACAAAATTACGGGTGGTATTTGATGCATCCTCCCATTATAAAGGGTGTCCCTCACTTAATGATGTTCTGCATAGAGAACCAGTAATTCTGCCGTTACTGTACGGAATTTTGCTGCGCTTCCGCATAGGGCAAATAGCAATAACTTCCGATATCGAGAAAGCATTTCTACAAGTAAGACTTCAAGAGCAGGATAGAGATGCAACTCGATGTCTCTGGCTCAAAGATTTCACCCAACCCCCTTCAAGATCCTATATCATCACTTACAGGTTTACCCGGGTCACCTTTGGGCTCAAGTCATCTCCTTTTTTTCTAGCGGGCAGAACTCACTATCATCTCAATACCTATGAAACGGAACGGTCTTTGGTAAATTGCATCAAAAAGAATATGTACGTCGATAACCTCATTCTAACGGCCGACACGGTTGATGAGGGTTTGTACTACTATCAGAGGACGAAGCAAATATTCCAAGACCTCAATATGAATTTGAGGGAGTTTGCCACCAATAGCATGGAGCTCATGCACTATATACCGGGCCATGACGGGTGAACCCACCCCAAAAATACTGGGAATTCTTTGGGACCTAAGAGGAGACCTCCTAGTGATCACTTGTCGGTTTCCGGAAACTCCTTCAGTCACAAAAAGAACAGTGACCAGCGCAATAGCGACCGTTTATGACCCTCTGGGATGGATACTGCCCCTTCTACATAAGGCGAAAACCTTCCTTCAAAATATTTGGAGGGACCAATATGATTGGAACACGGCCCTGCCCAAAGAAAGAGAAGAAGAATGGTGCAATATCATCAGTTCCGTTCAGGGGTTTACAATGAAAGTTCCACGTTTTTTCGTGTCTAGGGAAAGAGAAATAGTATTAGTAACGTTTGCTGACGCTAGTTCCAACGCTATCACGGCCTGCACATATTTGCACGACGGGGATGTAGCGCACCTCCTCATGGGCTAAGCCAAGCTTCCGTCGTTGCATTCAAGCGTAACAATACCTAAGCAGGAACTGAACGCTATTACGTTAGCTATGCGGGTATCCAATTCAATAATTTCGCAGTTGGAATAGACGCTCACCATCAAGCGAGTGTATCTGTTTTCAGATTCAGAAATAGTATTAGGATGGTTAAAAAAGAAACCATGCCGTGATACAGGCCCATTCATATATAATCGGTCGGCAGAAATTGAGAAAATACTCCTGCATTTAACTAACACGAAGCTAGCGAAGTTTGGTTATGTCCCTTCGGAATTCAATCCTGCCGACTGCGGCACAAGACGGCACACCAAAGAGGAGTTAGTCAATCATATATGGTGGACCGGTCCCTGCTGGCTGCAGACTCCCAACCTTTCTGACGTTGAAAAAGCCATGTTTGTAGCCTTCCATGACGATCAAGAGATGACTCTCCTATAGAAGGACAAACCACGGAAGTACTCACCACCACTAGCTTCCCAATAAATTCCGAAATCTGCGAAATTATAAGTGCGAGGCAGGCGAAACTTTTTACCCGAGCGAAACGTATCCTGGCCTACGTTATTAGGTTTCTACGGCCGCTTATAAAGAAAACGAATACAAAGCGCAGTTCACAAATGACCTTCTCGATAATGGACCACCCAGAACCCCCATGGTCCCACTTTCTCCGTGCAGCTGAAATCAAGGTAGCAGAGCGACATCTTATACGAAACCACCAAACATCACGAGTCAATAGCCAAATTTTACAACACTTGCGCGACCTCAATATTCGTCCGGACGATAGTGGAATTTTAAGATGCTATGGTCGACTAGGACAGTCCCAACTGGATTTCGATGGGAAATACCCAATATTCATCCTCCAGAAGACTCATTTAGCTGAAATGATCATTCGCGACTTCCACCAACGTCACCATCCGGGCACCAATCACACGATGACTTCAATTCGTCAACAGTTTTGGATACCCCGTCTTCGATCCCAGGTGCAGAAAGTAATCAGAACGTGTGTACAGTGTCAGAAGTTCAATAACCTTCCCTATAAGTACCTAGCTCAAGAGGACCTTCCGCGGGAACGGATTGTACGCGCAGCGCCCTTCCAACATGTAGGACTAGATTACTTCGGTCCCCTTGCAGTACGTAACGCTCAAGGACTACCGAAAGCCAAAGCAAGTGCTACGGGGTTATTATAACCTGTATGGTTACTCGTATGTCACCTGGATATAGTCCCAGATCTTCACACGACCTCGTTCCTCAGTATGCTACGCCGCGTCTTTGCACGGAGAGGTGTTCCAAAGTGAATAGTGAGTGACAATGCTCCCACCTTTCTTTTAGGAGAGGCCATACTGAGTGAAGGTATACGCGGAGCTCAAAATGACCCTACTGTGAGCTCAGAACTTAGAAATTATGGGATAGAATGGAAGCACATTACACCATATGCCCCTTGGCAAGGGGGTTCTATGAAAGACTTACCAAATCGGTTAAGCACTCTCTTTATAAAACGTTAGGTAGTTCCTTAGTTTCAATAGATTCGCTAGCCACATTACTTATCGAAGTAGAGGCAATGTTTAATACACGTCCGCTCACTTATGTGGCAACAGATCTCGATAATAACGGAGTAATACACCCCATACACTTTATACAGAAAGACATTATCTTGTCTTATCCCTGGATCTCTCCAGCAGAGGAACAGCAGGACCCCGATTATGCGCCACATTAAGACCCTTGCACTTCAAACTAGGAACAGGCAGTAGCTGCATTGGAATCATCCTGCAAGTTAACGGAAAAAGTTTGGCAAGTGTGACAAAACCAATACCTGACCGATCTAAGGGAAAAGCACACCCTTTATGTTAAAACAAAAAAGGGATGTAGTCAGGTCCCACGAGAAGGAACTTTGGTCCTGATCTGCGAAGCACTTTTACCCCGTCACTCTTGGGAAATGGGCATCATCCAAGAATTGGTGCGCAATACCACAGGTACTGTACGGGGAGCAGTGGTTCGGCTACCTTCCCGTAGACGAATAAGACGACCGGTGAATCTTCTTGTTCCCTTGGAATTGGAGGACGATGGCAGCAGAGTACCCCCATGCAGGGCGAACAGCAGGGAGAGCACCATGCCGAACAGGTGCAAGAAGCTGTGCGGAATCTAGCGGAGCCCAGCAATCCCCATCCCGGCCCTACCGAAAGACAGTCTCGCTACAACTTTCAAGATCGAAGACCCGTAAATTACAGTTAAAATGATGAAGTAGGAGGACCCGCTAACTTCGATATGGCGTGGGTAATTAGCCTTATACAACTTCTGTCTATTCTTTGCATTACAGGTGTCCACGTTACGGGTAAAGTCGCTTCCCGATACAATATTCAGTGCATTCAAGGCGGCGTTTAATTAAGAGTTCCAGAAATAACATCATATGAACTTTGCGCCGATCAATACTGCGTTGACCTGGTACATCCGGAGCATGAAGAAATCGTTGTCTTCCCACCACAGATTGTCCTCCACGAACACAAGGTTCAGTGGAAAATATTAGAGAACCAAAGTATAAAGGCAATAGGAACGACGTGCCCCCCGGCTCCGTTTTGCAAGTTTGTGACCTGTACATTCTGCAGTGCCAATATTACCAACCCAGAATGTTGGCCCCTTAGAGTAATACTTGCAATAGCCGCACTGCTCTATTTCCTTTTCACCGGCTGTTATGTCTTCCTGTATGTACCAGTAGTGATAGGTAAGCCATTCAGAATTATCGCAGCATTGATGTGGTCAATAGTCACACTCTTGCTCGGAAAAATCAGAGTGCAGGTAAAAAAAACCTTTGTAAGAAGACATGTCCATGCTAAACGTTCGGCTGAAATCATAGCAATCCTGTCAGTACTGTCTTTCCCCGCACAAGGATGCCAGTTAGTTGATCTCTTCGATCATTACACTACGATTTGTAATAACGACCCAAGCGAACCCTGCCACGTACATCTTTCTAAAGTCTTCAAAATCAATACTTTCAAACAAGAGGCATGTCTCCGATTATCCCTCAATAACACGTCAATCCACGAGTTCCGTCTACGATGGAAGTCCTTGTATATGAATGTGAACCAGAAACCAGCATGTCTCCGATTATCCCTCAATAACACGTCAATCCACGAGTTCCGTCTACGATGGAAGTCCTTGTATATGAATGTGAACCAGAAACCAATCTTTTCACTAGGGATACCATCTATAGAGTGGTAGACAGCAAGCGATGTGCCCATATGGGTTCATGTGCAGGGGCCAAGTGTGGAGCAATTAACTCGTCCAGTCTCTTACCCGAACTAGAGGAAGGAAACCAATACCCTGGAAATACAGCTTGTGTGGAGTCCTGTGGGGGGCCCGGTTGCGACCGTTTTTACCCTAGTTCAGGTTGTATATTTTACAGAATCTACCTTCAACCGGAAACCGTGTAAAATCTTCCACTTCAACCGATGGGCAAGCTTCGCGAAGGTAGAAATAAGTCACTTTGAAGGAGTGCGAAAAAGGCTTTCCACCACTATAAGGGAGCTCTCACCGAACCTGCCAATGCATTAGAAAACATTCCGGCTTACCCTCACTTCACTAGCTCTTCCGCCCATTCCTCTCTTCAATACTCACTTTATTTCGGACTCCCCGCGTACCGCTGTATGGAAAAGAGATCATCACCCAGCATTGCGATGCCCCAATTTCATCAGCGCGGAACAATTCAACTGTGAAGTGTTTGATGAGTGTACATGCGTACCAGCTGAGCTTCATGTAAATTGCAGATACACGAGCTTTTCAATAGCCGATTGGTTCAATAACACGAGAAATCACTTACCAGTGGTTTTTCCAGCACTAAGCTTTTTCCCGCACGACAAGTCGAAAGTTCAGGCAAGAGTTTCTTCTATGGTTAGTGCAGAAATCGTGGTCACCTTTCAAACGGCCTATAAACCAGAAATTCTGATTGATGACGCGACCTGCAGAATATCTGACTCCGACCTCAGAGGTTGCTATGGTTATGCTAAAGGAGCCTTCAGTAAAGTAACCTGCTTGGGCTCACGGGACAATGTACAAGCCGAGGTCAGATGCAATGAAATGGGTTTCACTATTCCCTGCAACACAACAGGAGCCACTTCCACGCTACGGTTCGCGTTCACCACAGCCCGCATTTCTCTGACCTGCTCTGTTTCGTGCGGCAATACCCACAGTTCTTCAAAATCGAGGTATTCTCAAATTTATCACGGTTCCAAGTGAGATTTTTCCATCTATGGCTACGAGGTGACACAATATCCGATAGCGAATTCACTTGGCCAGATATTACCCATATCTTTGCAGTTTTCGCACAATGGTACAAAACATCCTCATCACAATGATAGGCCTCGCTATAATTGTTGTAATAACCTACATTTTCCTCTCCACCTGTGGGATGCGAATTCTCATATGGATTGTTACGCTAGTCCCAAAAATATTTTTTACACGGTCACAATTCTAATCCGCGCTTTGTTTCACAGAACTACCGCCACGGGGCATAACAAACAGCTCCAAGTCAATAACGATAACTTGACAAATAGTATAGCACTTTCTCATTCCTTTTCATTTCATCTTTCAATTCTTCATTCCTTTTAATTTTTCAGCATCAATCACAATGTCCCAAGACTACTTGTCCGAACTGATGTTCCTCTCCTTCATCAACGCCAGGTAGCAAAAGACCTTGAAACGGTCCTCGCCGACAGCCTCACAGTCATCATGGTCGACTCCGAGAAAATACCAGCATATAAGAGAAAAGAATGGCTCGAGAATGGTACGGATCACAGTACAAAGGCAGAAGACGTGTTTTCAGCAGTAACCGAGCACATGCAAAAACTAGACCAATACGTAGCCGCAATAGAAGCAGAGCTCGCCAAGGCGGAAAGGCGACTCAAAGACGAGAAGTGTTGGGAGCAGTTTAAACGAACAGTAACAGAGGGACAAGCAAAGAAGATGGAAGTGGAGAAAATGGATGCCGACCCCCCCCCCCCGGCGGAAAGCTTGCCCAGTAATCCCGAGATGCAGGCAGTAACGGACGAGTACCTTGATCGGCTCATCCGAGAGAACAAGGGAATGGAAGAAGAAGAGGACTGCCGCGTCGATCAGAAGGAGCACTATGATCGCCCCTCAGACGAAGATGCTCCAGGGCCTTCCCATAGACAGAAGAGCGAGAATTGGGTAAGGGACTTGAGACAGTTGAAGTTCTCGCTCGATCTCCTTCCACGTAGGAAATTCAATAAAGTTCCGAGTTCTGGTTGGACCAATGTAGTGTGCGTATTCTGCAAACGGGTTGGACATCACTTCTCGGATTCCTGTCCAGTGATGTCAGACGGTGACGAAAGATATCGCTTCATAAAGAGAAAAAACCTCTGTCAATACTGCCTCGGAAATTGCAATCCGTATCGACCATGTCCCAAGCAAGAGAATCAGTGCTGCTACTGCGAAGTTGTTCAAGATAAGGAATGGCTCCGCTTCCTTATTCCCAATGACGGTGGACATCATCGCGCCTTGTGCAATATTCCGAACTCGTAGAATCTCATCCGCGAACGCATACGACAGCTGGAGAAGGAGTGGCGGTAAGAAGATCGTTCTAAAGCTATTGGCCGGAGTGTCGCAACAGATGCGACTAAATCAGTAAGTTATGGTGAGTAAAAAGGGTTGTGTTTACATTCTTCAGAAACTTATTTCCTCACCGGCATCCTGGGAAATTCTGGTACTCTAAACATAATTTCTCGGGAGGCTGGAAAATATGTTTTCATTCCTGAGTTGCAGGGCTCAATAGTCACGTCCACCGCTATATATAAGCTTCACAATATCTCTTATGGGGATTCTTGGGGTTTTCCACCAGTACTTCTTCCACGGCTCCATCGTCAGATCGGTCCCGGTAGGCCGAAAACGTCGTCCAGCGCATCTGCGTCATTCATTGATCCTACCACGGGTAAGCCTCGAGCCGCTCAAGAGAGGCGTCGTCACCACCAGGCGAGTGGTCTTATTCTCTACTGTTCTGGTCCGACTAGCTTTTCATTATTTTCATTTTCCAATATTCAGAAACTCTTCATTAGTGGTCACCATTACTAGCGGATGACACCTGCAATCGCGACGACTCTGGATTCAATCGTTCGACCCTCGACAGCAAGGAGCGGAAGAATCGACAGCCGATACTCTTGGTGTTTCTGTACTGTAATAAGCCTATATTTATTCCGGTCGTCTTCGAGCAAGAATATTCCGCGTGGCCAGTGTCTCTACACTGAAGGCGAGCATAGCTATCACAAAGGGTCTCCACAAGGATAACAGAATGTTCTACACTAGATCTCCTCGGGCAGTTCCTTATAAAAATGCAAACTTCACCGGATATAAAGGGTAGCACAAAAAGATTTCAAGCGTAAAAGAATTATCACATCAGTCTGTTGGTTACGGTGTAGATTCTGGTTCAACACATAGATGAGGGGAGATTGGAGTCAGTAGCGCAGCAGTTTCGCGTCCCTCTTCCTCAGTATAGACTGAAATAGTTTACGAAATGAAAAAAATGAAAAAAGGGACAATAAAATTTCTGTTGTTGGGCTTTCTATAGCTTTCAGTTGAGTGAATCCACCTCGAAGGTTCCCTTCCCCTTTCGCCTCCCCTTCAGACCTGAGCGTTGACGAACAAGGCAGTTGTCGCAGGGCTTCTTGCATGCTACTTTGATATGTTCTGGCCGCTCGTTCGTTTGTCGCTCGCTCTGACACTGGAGGTCTCTCAGGCATAGTGAGATTTGGAAAACGATTTCACGCACCTTGCACAGACACATACAAGTGCCAAAAAGGTGAGATTCTCTTCCGCTGCGCGCTCATGAGAACACCGAAAAAACGCAAAAAATAGGTTGCTGCTTCGGATCCCTCGAGGACGGAACTCTTTCCTACAATTTTTCATTCTCTAGTGCGTGTTTTTCTGAATCCGTTGTCCCAAAAAAATATGCACGCAAAACCCGACAGTCCCCTGTTCATCGAGCAAAAATGCTTTCTCCTTTTGAATTAGAAAATTAGTTAATATTTACAAACCCGGGTTGCTCGGCGTCATGCCGGCGTTGAATGGCTTTGACGCCAAAAAAATGTCGAAATTGTGAGCACGACTGCAGATTACTCCTAGAGACGAATCGTGAGCTAAAATTTTTTTTATTTTTCGGGTTATAGTCGACCACTTGGTCGGCAGTGATGACCGCAGTCTCACATCTTCGTTATGGCGATGGCGTGATCGCAATGCGCAACAGATCGCCGCCGAGCGTAGTGTCAGTTGGTATCAAAAAGCTCTTCGCATGCATGGCATGCGTCTGCGTAGCGTTAGTACGTAGACAAGTATTTCAGACCTTTCCCGATTCCTACCAGCTCTACAAAGTGTCGTCCTTTCCTACCCAGCAATTGTCTTACAACTTTTCCGACATATTGGGCGCATTCAAAAGGATAAGCTCCCTTCCTTGTTCCTGTACAAGCTTCATTGTTGTTGTCAGGTGACATGTTATATGAGTAAATGGAGAGCTTTGGGCACAGACGCAAAAGGCTGCTTTGCTAAGGGACTCCTGAGCAAACAAACTTTTTCTTGACCGAAAAATCGTCGCTAGAGGTAATCAATGGTTCTGATTGCAATTTTATCACTTATTCCTGTCATTGACGCACTCTGACTCCTCAACAGCCTTCATATGAAAACATATCACGCATTCAGTGATAGAGAGATGGCAGATTATGAAAAGCACCGGCTAGGAGTAAAATTCATATCCGTTATTAGGGCACTGATAGGCTTTTAAAGTCAAGTTCCAGTCACTGTTCTGCTTAATGTTGAGGGAAAATTCTTATTCTTTTTCTTTCTTAATCTACTTCGGATAGCACCGACTTGTGGGGTGTGATATTTAATAGGTACCTATTAGGCTGTCAGGAAAGTTTTCAGCGTTTCGAGTGTTTCACTTCAAACGATCATAACTTTCTTAATACTCATCGGATTTAATACAAATGAGCACCACTCGAATTAGCACACTTTTGCCAATGTGAAGACAGTTGACAAATCCCACCAAAGAAAAAACTGGGTGGTTGAGAATCCACGAAATCTACGAAGGCTTTTTTATGGCCCTAATTGATGAGGTGTTTTCCGGCAAGGAAGTTCCTAAAATATTTGAAAAGGTGATAGTCGGTTGGCGAAAGGCCTGGAGAATATGGCGGGCGAGGTAGAACTTCATCCTCCAATTCGTTCAATTTATGGATAGCGATTTGTGAAACGTGCGGGCGGTGTCATGCAAAAGAATCGGATCCTTTCTGTTGACGAGTGCTGGCTGCAGCTGACGCAATTTCCGGTACATTTCGTCGGTTCCTTCACAGTAGGGTTCTGCTGTGATGGTTTGGCCTGGTGATAAAAAGTTATAGTGGATCACACCAGCCGATGACCACCAAACCGTGACCGGAATTTTTTTGTGATGGTTCAGCTTTGAAAATTACCTCGGCGGTTCGTTGGAATCCAAACACTGTCCGGAACGTCTCCTGCATCATATATGATCCACTTTTCATCACAGGTGACAATTCCGTTCAAAAACGGGTCGTTTCTGTTGCGCAAAAGCAGTGAAGAAGAAACCTCGAGAAGTGCCACTTTCTGCCGATCACTCAAATTGTGGGCACCCATTTGTCGAGTTTTCTAACCTTCCCAACGCGTTTCGGACCATCCGACAGTAGATTTGCCAACGCCTAACCTTTCTGCAATCTCTCGAACTGTTTGGGATGGGTCAGCCTCCAAAAACGCCTTCAAATCCACGTCAGGTATCGCTTTAGGTCGACCGCTACGAGGTTCATCTTCAAGGCTGGAATCTCCAGAACGAAATTTGTCGAACCATTGTCGCACGGTGCTTTCTCCTACACTATTGGGCCTCCACACCTGGTTAATTTGTCGAGCTGTCTCGGGTGCGGAATGACCAAATTTTTAGCTGAAGAAAAATATCGTCCGAAGTTGCTCTTTTGGCATGCATCAAAAAGTCGACGCAAGGGATAGTGAGTTTTTAATCAGCAATGAATGTACAAAGAATAGTAACACAAAACGCTGAGAACTTTCCGGACAACCTAATATAAATGGCAATTATCCATGTCATATCAAGGCACAGACATTTATGCATGGAAGAAACTTTGAACTTTGCAAAAATGAAAACTTGAGTTTGCAAAAATGAGCCGGCCAAGGAGAGTCGAACCAAAAACCACGAATTTGTTCTACCAGCGTCATTAACCAGGCCGTCCGGTCGTTGCGGCCCTGCACAGCTCCGATGCGATGAAACCATCGTCTATTGCTGGGCCGAAAATCCTTTTCTACTCCTTTTTTGTCTTCCCTGGCTGCGCGCAGCGAAAACGAAGCTTCTTCTTCAGGTCCTTGTATGAACCTCTACAATATGCAAGAAAAGCGTTTTCAAAAAGCACACCACGCCCTGAGCGACCTCCCTTATGAGCGGAGCAGATTATGAAGCTATCGCAGAGCAATAAAGCGGAGGTAGTCATTCCAGTACAGGTGTTTTTTCATCGGCAGGACCAACTGTCATGAATCTTGCATTCTCAAATAAACACGTCCTCAGAAGACCTTGTTTTAGCTCCAGAGTACTTAAACGAGCCTTCTGAACCTTACTCCTATTCTTCCGCCCTAGCTCTCAGCAAAGGCCTCGTCACCTCCTGCCAGGGAAGAATAATCCTTTCTCACCGACATTTTGGGTGTGAATCTAGGGCAGCATGTATGTGACCTTCCTTATAATTTAACAGAATTTCTAGCTGTTAATCATGCCTGCCTACTGGTAAATGGAAAGTTTCACTTAACGAGGTTGGATAACAACATCTGGAGAAGACTGATTGTCACGAGTGGACATGTTCACCCATCACAACTTGAAAAGCTCAAAAAAAATTTTTTGCTGGCCCTTACATGGGTGCCAGAGTCGTAATTGGGATGGTCCTCTACCATCAAATTTTATGAGCCAGTCCCTTTAAAGACACATGGTACGCTCAAACATATTGAGGGTGTATGAGACTATCAGCCCACCAGCTGTCGACGTGTCGTCGTCCCCCCGCCCAAAACTGCACGGGGTCAGAGTACGGGGCCGTGGGAAAGTCGTCCTTGCTACACCGCCCTCACGTTTATGCTAACACCATCCGCGCGGCGCGGTCACGTGCAGCTCTCTTGGCTTTTTGCCAAGTCCTGTAATGCTCTTTGGAATACAAGTACAACGCAATTTCTTTAGGCGGATAACATTGTGCTGCAAAATAAGAACCGAAGATGATGAGAAGGGCTAGAACTCAAGAGCAACTGTGGTGCTTCTACAATATTCCTCAGAGGCCGCGCATTCCCACAGAACATGATAATAAAAGCGGACAACATGACAATAAAACATGACAATACAAGCAAACGCAATTTCCTAACATTTGAGGTGTTGCTCATGCTTCGAAGTCCGAATAGAAGGTGATGAAGATGACAAAGGCTAGAAATGAACAACAACGAATGTAGATGTAAATAAAACAAAATTGAAAAAACTAACGAAACTCAATAAATTAAAATCGCGTGTGCATTTCTGCGATTCGGCTCGAATCCGGCTCTAATGCTATAGAATACTTCAAACTAACGGGTGGGACGCTTAGGCCGTTTTTATTTTGATGTTTTGTGGGAATGCGCGGCCTGCGAGGGCTGTTGCAGAAGCAGCACAGTTGCTCTTGAGTTCTAGCCCTCGTCGTCATCCAAGATGATATCCGCATAAAGAAATTGCGTTGTACTTGTATTCCAAAGCGCACTTAACAGGCTTGGCAAAAAGCCATGAGAGCTGCACGCGACCGCGCCGCGCGAACGGTGCTAGTAAAAACGGTAGTTTGCAAAAAACGGGCGGCGTAGCAAGGAATTACGACTTTCCCACGGTCGTACCCTGACCCCGTGCAGTTTTGGGCGGGGGGACCACGACACATCGACAGCTGGGGCTGATAGTCTCATACACCCTCAGTGTGTTTGAGCGTACCATGTGTCTTTAAACTGAAGGCTGAAGCCACCCACGGGGAGTCAGTTTAGCGGTGGTCTCAAGCAAAAACCGGCC